ATTTAGTAGGAACCTGTTACTGTTTCACTGAATTTCAGAAGCAACTGTGAAAGAAGAGCAGGCAAATACAGCGAGATCTTTACGTCAGATGCCCAGGACTGTGGTTTTAAGAATTATGTGGAAGTGCTTAGCTCTTAAGGGAAAAATTCCCACTTCTGCATCTTCAGAAATATTTCTGAGACAACCAAGGCTACGCTTCAGATTTTCCCTCCAAACAGGACGATCTTTAGCTATTTAGTTTATCATCTCCATAGTTTAGATAATTCTTCATTGAGTTTTTACAAGCATGCCAGCAAACTTCTAAGGTACACAGATTTTTTTTTTTTTTTTTTATTTCCCCAACAATTAAATTCAAAACTTACAGACCAGGACTTTTATTTTGCTAAGAATTGTCTTACTTGCCATCAACAGGATTCTTTACTTTGGTATTTCTTAACCTTTCCAAATTTACTAAATATATTAAAAAAAAGGGTGTGTGTGAGAAATACTCTTTCAAGTTATCTGGAGCTGCAGATAATTTTACAGAAATTTAATAGATTCATTTATATTTTAAAAGGTGTAACCAACTACGTATTTCTCTGTTTTGATGTGTAACATGGATAACATGCATAATACCTCTCCCACCTGATTTAGGTCTTGTCCAATCTTTGAGCTCCATTCAGTCAGTGTTTTCTGAATGCAGTCCCGCACCTACAAAATATTTTTTCATATTGAAGCGTAGGTATGTTACAGCTGCACAGAAATACAATGATTCATAGGTGTGTAGACTGAGCAGATGAACTAATGACACAATTCCTTCAACCACAGAAGATTCTTCCTTCATAGCTTCCACCTGAAACTTGTTCAAACTAGTTTACTTAAATATTTTCCTCTCCTCTTTCACAAAGCATTTTAGCAGTAACACAAGTACTGTATTTCATTTATTTCTCAGACCAATGCCATCTTTAAAGGAAAGAACAATACTAAGCAAGCAAGAACTAGGGTGTGGGGTGGGTTGTTTTTTTTGTTTGTTTTGGTTTGGGTTTTTTTTTTTGCATAGAGATTCTTAAGTTACAATGTACTCAGATAATAGCATACATGCTGTGACATTGTTAGAAATGAGACTTTACAATCAGTCACTAAATACTCATTATATAAAATACTTTTCTTTCCAAGATGCATCTGATCCTTTTCATTTACTGCCTACCTATTCCACTGTGCCAAACCACTAATGCTTTTAAGTCCTTCATTACTGAAAGGGGAACCTTCCGATTCTACCCCACACTTGCATTTTTCCTGCATCCACAGATGCAAAATTAACTCGACTAGGATTCTGATCATGGATTTTCTTGAACATAGTAAGGCATAACTATTAAGTCTAAATCAGCTAATTAACTGCATATTGTACCAGTGCTTCAGCTGTACCAATGCTCTAGCTTCCCTCTGATACATCTCAGGAGTTGTTACTCTGCAGGCTAAGGAAATGTACTGTCAAGGCTGCTATCTGCCACAGGTAGGACCACTTTAATGAGTTGCTGCTTTACTTCACTCTTAGCAATATATTTTATAATTATGCAGGTACCTACTTTTTGTACCATTAAATAGCAGTTTCCTGTGACACCTAACATTAATTCAGAGAGCTCATAATACCATGCACAAACTATAAGCCAACCTCCCTACTAGAAATGGCTATCACAAAGTTTAAGACATAATACAGTAATAATACTTTGTGAGTGCAAATTCTATACCTTCTTTCCCAATCATTTACAATGGCATGAAAAAAATAGCTGAGTCAGAAGGCAAGAATTGACTCCCCCACCCCCAAATAGCTATCCACAATGCTGGAACTCTTTAGCCTATTTTGACGCAACTTATAATGTTATTTTTTCCTTTCTGAGGGAAAGCGAGACAGTGCTAAACATGTATATTCTATATATTGCCACTTTGCAGCTGTTACACTTTGTATTTCTACTGCAGTTTGTATGCACGAGCCTCTGTCTCCAAAGCACACCATTCCCCTGCCCTCAACACGTGAAAAGCAGAGTGTATCCGACTGCTTTGATCAGCTTTTCCAAATACAGCTACATTCCCAAACTCCTAACATTAGGGTTCATAGTTTGCAAAATTTTAGCTCACATTCTGCTACGGAGAACTATGCACACACTAAGTACACCAAACAAAAGAGTTAAAAGCCAATTTATTTCTGATAATTAATGCCAATTATTTGCTTTTGGAATTCCAGCAACTCTGGAAAGCAGGCAGCCTTATGTTTAAATGCAGATTTCCCTGTAAATAGAAGAATTTAAATACCTTAACCAATTAGTTATGCACACTGGCCACGCTTAAAAAACAACCCTCCAGAAACTACTCACACAAGGGTGGCCATTACAATACAGCTATCTCTTCGCTACAAAATCTAGCCCCATTTCACAGATCACAGAATGTTGTAATAAGCAACCAGGCCAAATAAAAAAAGTTAATACCACACGACAAGTAAATAAAAGGATGATGAATTCTTCCTTCTCATTACATCATCCTCCCAGTCACTAAGTTTTAGATTTTCAGTAGTGCCACTACACAGCAATAATCAGCCAAACGCATAGCTCTTCCCATTATTAAATGACTGTTTTCAGCTTACTGTGTCATGACAAGACAGTAAATACAGTGGTTCTGAAGTTCATGGCCACAGGATCTTCCAAGAATTTTATAAGGACTATTCTAAGTGTTGAGACATACTGCTAAAGGTAATAGTTTTAAAGTGGTGATTTAAAAGTTCTTTCAACTTTTTAAAAAAGAATGACAGCTACACTCTTTAAAGAAGACAGCAACGGCTAATTTTCCTGAGACCTGTCACCACCAAGAAGTTACATTAATTTCAGGTTAGAAAAGAGAGTTTTCATCACTTGAAACGCAAGCTCAGACCTACTCATACCCTTCTCCTGCTCAAGAGGTATCAGGGATCTGCTTTGCCGTTACAAACAGTACTTCGACTTGTAAGCGTTTTCAGCCTTCATCCCCCGAGAGCAGAAACGCGGTCCGGCTCCTTCCGAAAGAGACTCGGACACAGCAAAGTGCTGCCGGGGGCGTGGGGGCTCCTCTGCGCTGTCGCTAGCGCGGGTTGCCCTGGCCGTCTCCCCGCTCCCCAGCACGGCCAGCCGGCCGGCTTCCCTCCCCACGCACCCCGCCGCCAGGCCGGCGGCGGCTAGGCCCGCCCCGCGGTGCCGCTCCGCGGACTGGGACCGGCCCGACCGACTTCCCAACGGGCCAGAACACCCGAAAGAGACAACAACCACAACAGCCCGTTCTGCCGTTCCCGCCCCGCACCTCGCGAGCGGTACGGCCACGGGCGCCCACAGCGCGCGCGGAGGGCGGGCGCCGCCGAGGCGGTCGTCAGGGCAATTAAACCCTTCTCCCCTCGGTGACGGACGGGCACCAGGCCGGGCTGCGCAGCGCCAGAAGAACAAGCCCGCCTCTGGGTAACGTCTCGATCGCACGGACGTCCCCGCTCCCGCCGGGGACGGGGTAACCCGGCTCTCCTGCGGGCGCCGCACC